TTCCTCTAGGTTTACAAATTTGTTAGAGTACAATTTTTCATAGTATTCTGTTATGATTCTTTTAATTTCAGTTGGGTCTGTTGTGATATTTTCCATCTCATTTCTTTTATGGTTTATCTGCTTCCTCTCCTGTTTTTCTTTTGTCAGTTTGGCCAATAGTTCATTAATTTTGTTGATGTTTTCAAAGCTTTTGGTCTTTTTAACTCTTTCAATTTTTTTTCTATTCTCTATTTCATTTAATTCTGCTCTAATTCTTATTATTTCCTTTCCTCTGGTGCTTGAGGGCTTCTTTTGCTGCTCTGTTTCTACCTGTTCCAGTTGTAGCATTAATGTTTTGATTATTGCCCTTTCTTCTTTCTGGATATGTGTATTTATTGCTATAGACTGACCTCTGAGCACGGCTTTTGCTGTGTCCCAAAGGTTCTGGTAGGATGTGTTTTTATTCTCGTTTGATTCTATGAATTTATTTATTCCATCCTTAATTTTTTCTATAACTGAATAGTTTTTGAGCAAGGCGTTGTTCAGTTTTCATATGTTTGATGTTTTTTTTCCTTGCTTTTTCTGTTGTTGATTTCTACTTTTTTAGCTTTATGGTCAGAAAAGATACTTTGTAATATTTTGATGCTTTGGATTTTGTTAAGGCTTGCTTTATGGCCTAATATATGGTATATTCTGGAGAATGTTCCATGTCCATTGGAAAAGAAAGTGTACTTCGCTGCTGTTAGGTGGAGTGTTCGGTGTATGTCTGTGAAATCAAGTTGGCTGATTGTGGCATTTAGCTCTTCCGTGTCTTTGTTTAGCTTCTTTCTGGATGTTCTTTTCTCCCCGAAAATGGTGTGTTGAAGTCTCCTGCTACTATTATGGAGCTGTCTGTCTCTCTTTTCAGTGCTTAGAGTTGGTTTTATGTATTTTGGAGCCCTGTCGTTGGGTGGGTAAATATTTATTATAGTTAGGTCCTCCTGGTATATTGACCTTTCAGTCATTATATAGTGTCTTTCCTTATCGTTCGTGGTGGATTTTACTTTAAAGTCTATTTTGTCTGAGAGTAGTATTGCCATTCCTGCTCATTTTTGAGTGTTGTTTGCTTGATACATTTTTTTCTATCCTTTGAGTTTTAGTTTGTTAGTGTCTTTAAGTTTAAGGTGTGTCTTTTGTAGGCAGCGTATAGACGCATCGTGTTTTTTTAATCCATTCTGCCACTCTTTGTCTCTTTATTGGTGCATTTAGTCCATTTATATTCAGCATAATTATTGATAGGTATGAGTTCAGTGCTGTCATTTTGATGTCTTTTTTTGTGTGTTGTTCACAGTTTCTTTGTTCCACTTAATTTTCTGTGCTGAGTCATTTTTGTTCATGTATTTTCATCTTTTTCATTGTTGTTGATTTTGTGTTTGCTGAGTCTATATCTTTCTACTTTTTTATTTTGATTTGTAGGATTGTTAGTTTCCTTTCTGGTTACCTTGATATTTACCTTTGTTTTTCTATGTTTATACCAGTCTTTTATTTCTTTATATCGCCTTGCCTTCCTTTCCGTGTGCAAAATCTATGTCTACATTTTTTAAGTCCTTTTTTGTTTAAACGTTGTCATCTTTTACATACTGACATCTGGTTTCCTCTTTTCAGTGTTTTAGCTTTGATTTACTTTTGTGACTTCCCTATCTGGGTTGATATCTTGTTGCTCTGTCTTGTGTTCCAGTCTTGGGTTGTTATCTGATGTTACTGATTTTCTAACCGGAGGACTACCTTGAGTATGTCTTGTAATTTTGGTTTGATTTTTGCAAATTCCCTAAACTTCTGTTTATCTGGAAATGCCCTAACTTCGCCAGCATATTTGAGAGACAGTTTTGCTGGCTATGTAATTCTTGACTGGCAGTTTTTTTCCTTCAAGGCTTTATATATGTCATCCCATTGCCTTCTTGCCTGCGTGGTTTCTGCTAAGTAGTCCGAACTTATTAATTCTCCTTTGTAGATGACTTTTCATTTATCGCTAGCCATTCTTAAAATTCTGTCTTTATCTTTGGTTTTGGCAAGTTTAATTATAGTATGTCTTGGTGACTTTTTTTGCGATCTACCTTATGTGGGGTTCTGTGAGCATCTTGTATAGATATCTTGTCATCTTTCACGATATCAGGGATGTTTTCTGCCAATAAATCTTCAACAATTCTCTCTGTATTTTTTGTTAGCCCTTTTGTTCTGGTATTACAGTCACTTATAGGTTATTCTTCTTGATAGAGTCCCACATAATTCTTAGGGTTTTTTCATTTTTTTAATCCTTTTATCTGATTTTTCCTCAAATAAGTTGGTATCAAGTGCTTTATCTTCAATCTCACTAATTCTGACTTCCATTGCCTTGATTTTGTTCCTATGACTTTGTATAGAGGTGTTTAATTCTGAAATTTTATTGTTAATCTTCTAGATTTCTGATTGCTGTCTCTCTATGGATTCTTGCAGCCTGTTAAATTATTCATTATGCTCTTCTCTAATCTTTTTAATTTCCTCTATTGCGTGTTCTACATTTTGCTTAATTGCCTTCCTAATTTGCTCAAGAGTTCTGTATGTTAATCTTTTGTATTCTGCCTTCAGTAATTCCAAGACATTTTTCTCCCCTGGAAAATTTCTAGATTCTTTATTTTGGGAGCTTACTGAAGCCATCATGAATTGCCTCTTTCTGTGATTTGATGTTGACTGCTGTCTTTGAGCCATCAATAAGTTATTATGTTTATTTATTTTATGTTTGGTTAATGTATCCTGGATTCTTGTTTTGTTTTGATATGCCCGAATAGGCTGCTCATATGAGCTAGTTTGATTATTGGCAGCTTTGAAGCTCTAATTTCCTGTCACCAGGTGTTTACGTCTGTTACTAGGTATGTGAGCTCCGGAGTCTGCCCACTCCTCCTGGATGGATTCGGCTCAGGTGCCCAGGTAGATAGCCACCAAGTGTGTGGTGTAGGCTCTCACTTACAGTCCTAGACAGGCATGGGTGATTGATGTAGGCACAGTCATCTGCCTGCAGCAGGGGGACACACTCTGAGCAAGGCAAGGGGCTGACGGCTACTCCCGAGTGTCCAGGAGGAGGGCATGTCCTGTGTTCCCTGGAGCGGGTAGGTGGGTGCGTTTTGCAGCCGGACTATGAGCACCTAATGCTGTTGGGTGTAAGTATTGGGGGGCACCTCTTATTCTTGGGCCCCTATCGCAGGTGGCTAGGTGGCGTGGGTGGAGTCACCAGTCCTCAGGCCTCTAATGTCCGTAGGTGAGTACCCTGCTTAATGGGCAGAGCAGTGTCAAATGTCAAGAACCTGCCACTTCACAGCTGAAACAGTTGAAGTTAGACTTAAGGTATATACCCTGTTGTACTGCTATAATGAGGACCTACGCTGTTGAGATGGGCCCACACAAGTCTGTGCAGGGGGAAAGGCACTCAAAGTCTGTGGATCCCTTATGCTTGTGCCTAGGCAAAGGAGCTGTGCCTACCCTGAGTTCCTAGCTTATGGCAGCCACTAGTTTATTTTTTCGTGTTTGCTAGTTCACTCTCCAAGGCAGGGAGAATGGCTCCGGGCGTGTGATGGATCCTACTTCCGGCCCAGGGGACTTGGCAATTGCTGAAGTTGGTCTGGGACCCAATGCAAAGCAGAGAGCAGGGAAGTAAATGGAGAGAGGTTTTTCCCTAAGGGGGGTGTTTTTGATCCGTGCAGTAAGCTGTACACAGGTACTTATCTTTCACCAGTGAGGGCTGCTTCTCGCTGGTTCTGAGTGGCTGTGAAGACTTTCTTGTGCTGGGCCTCTCCCAGTGTGGAAAACATGCCTCGTGAGTACCATTGCTTGCCTGCCTCACTGCTTACCCACAAGCTCCTCAGGCCTGAAGGGCTCAGGCTCTCGCCAGATCAGGTCTGGCAACTCCTTGCTGCTTCAGAACCGTCTCTCCCGCCCCCTGCCACTCAGTCTGGTTCCTCAACTCCGCCTTTGATGTTCAGGCCTCCCAGGTTGCTATATGTAATCGAATTACTTGTTTTTTCGGGTCTTTTTTGTAAGAGTGTCCACTGGAAGCATCTGACTACTCTGCCATCTTGGCCCTGCCTCTAAATTGGTTTTCTGATACAAATACTGTCTCCTGCAAGTTTACTCTCCTTAAATCAATTTTTTATTTTTATGCTATATCCCTTTTGAAGAATTGGTTGGTCAAACTTGCAGGGGTGCAAGGCAGCTAACATTTTTGGGTGCCTACTCTAGATCCTTTTTTTGCTATTTCTTGTTTAGTCCTCGTAAGTTATATTTGAGACAATTATTGTCCACAATTCACAGAAGTGGAAGGCAAGACTTAGCAAGATTTAGAAATTTATACAGAATCAAATAGTAAAAAGTGGCAGAACCTGAGGTTTCAAACACAAAGCAGTCTTGCTTTAAATGTGTTACATTTTAGAAAGACAACTTTGTTAACTGTGCAAGAAGGATAAGAATGAAGGTAGGATGGGCAGTGGGAAAGTATTGCATTAGTAGAACAAAAAGAAGGCCTGTAAGTAAAATAGAAGCAGTGAGATTGGAAAGAAGGTCAAGAAAGGGTATGGGGAGGGGTAATTGGCATCAGCTGACTTGGAACATAGCACTTGTTTTGTAGCAGAGAAACAATTCTAGAAGGAACTGTGTGAGACATGAGAAACAGAGGCAAAGTCAGGCACCTCAGAGAAATCTTTATGAGCCACCTGCTTAGGTCATCGGTAGTATTAGAGTGTATTTTTAGCTAATTAATATAAAGAAGCATGAATAGAAAACAAAATACTAATAGATAACATAATATATTTAAATAATAGATAAAGATAACATTACTGGATGGTAGGTAACAAATTTCTGATAGAGTAGTATCATTCAGAAGTTTATACATACTATCTGGTTAATTAAGGATATCAGTATATCATTTACATTTATTAGCTTTGTTGTTCTAAATAGGAATTCATAAATCAGTAATATTAACTTTTTCAGACTAATCATGTATTTCTCTTTATAAAGGAATAATTTTTAGGTAATTTATTTTATTCAGTGATTCAGTAATATTTGTGAAACTGTATTGTGTGCCAGCCACAGAGTATATACCAGTGAACAAAAGAGGGAAAAGTCCCTGTACTCATAGGGATTTATTTTGTAGGGATACATGGCAAACGAAATAAGCAGGTAAATGTATGATATATCAAATGGTGATAACTGCAATGAAAGAAACAAAGTAGGGGGTAGTAGGGAGGATAGAGATTGTATGTGGAAGTGAAACATTTAAATTCAGAGAAGACATCACTGAGAAGGTGATATTGCCAAGCTAACAAATGGTTCTAAAACCTGAAGTAGAAGGATATTCCAATTCATAAGATTAAGAATTTTTAAATGCTTCAGTGAATAAAACTCATAAATTCAGGTGCTCTGAAATGATCTATGGGTAGAATTGGTGATAGTTTGAGATGAAACTTCTTCAGGAAAGTCATATTAAAGGGCAGTCTGTGGTTTTTCAGTTATATCATCTTCCCTTCTGAATCTACTAGTATGAATTTGGATTTACAGTTTGATAATGGGGAAGTAAGTTTTAATTTTAACCTTGAATGCATATAAAAAATATAGTAAAGAGGTGTTATTTTTAACCCAAGCAGGCAGTTGCTGATAGATCTATGACTGTCAGATGATGAAGCCTATTCAAGGGAAAATAGACGAATAAGTAGGTCACTTTTCTTTTATTTCTCCTTTTGAGCCTAAACAGTAGGCTGTGCTGAATATAGTAGAGACCATTGTTCTGCTAGTTGGAAGAGCTGAATTCTTGGGAAGGATCTGAATACTAGATGCCCCTAACATCTAGGTTATAATTTATCACAAAAAAATTGACCCCTGCGAGTTTTTAGTAATATGGTCTAGACTTTTAAAGGCCTTACAGAGTTAATAGAAGTTAGATAATAGATAATGGGAGATGCTCAGAATATGATTCTGACATTCATAAATAATCCTGGACAAGTGGGGATAAACAGGAAGTACCTAGGTGAGCAAGTCTACTAGTGTACAACCTCAACCTGAAATCCAGAAAATGCCTTCATTGTTGGTTTTAGTAAGGAGTGAATTTTTCCAGTAGTGAATTTCACTTTAAAGTTATAACCTAGCAATTGTTGAAGTTACCCAACATTAGTATTTTGGGATATGGCATAAAGTATAAACTCAGACTTTTAAGAATGAATCATTCCTTGCCTTTCATAAGGGATATCCTTAATACGAATGTGCTTGATAGGTATTTTTAAATCTTTACTTTTATTTATGTGTTAACTCATATAAGAGAGGTAATAAAGAGCATGGAATGCAGATTTAGCACATTCTTTATGCTAGTTAGAAATACTATAAAAGAATTCAAAACTGATTTGAGTCTGGAAATTATTCCAAAGATTAAAGAAGTCTTGCAATTTATAATTTGAAGTAAATCCATAGTACAGAGGGTACTCTTTGAGGGCTGATTATATTTGGTAGCATACAATAAATAATTTAAAATATTAATTCCGTATATTTGTAGGGTACAGTATAGTTTATAATTGGTGATATAATTTGAGAACCTATGAGCTTGTCAGCAGATTTCTGAAGGAAATAATTCAGAATAACGAATCTGAAATACATGGAGGCTTCAGAAGATGTAATTGGGATAAGCCGTTATGACTCTGGAATAGAAGACATAATCTTGCTGGGACTGGCCAGATTATGGGGAACATGGAGGAACATGAGAAATAGAGAAAATGTGATGGTTATCTGTAACCCCAGGTTTTGAAAAACTGGAGTGTGAGAAAGCTGTATGCTCCCCAGTGCTGGTAGAGAGCCTTTTCTCATGACTTAAGACGCTTTTTATGTCTCTTTGATGAGACAATATGAAATGTGAGGCCCTAAAATAACTCTATAGTAGACTCTGAGGAATGCAGAGAAATGAACTGTTGTTGTCCTTGGGATGCTTATGATGTTATGAGTATTGAGTAAAGCATAAGTTGGTTCTCTGGAATTTGTTTGACTTTAATTTTTAGTTGTTAAACATTATCTGATTGACCACCTCCTTATTTTGAATTATGTATTGGTGTATCTCTTGAGATGTGGGAGCTAAAACACTTCTTCATTTCTCCTGCAATGGAAAGTATATGAATACTCACATCCTCTGCCTTCTTATCCTCTTTTTGGCACTCACCTCCTGGTAAATTGACAGGATACTTCAAAGCTAGTAATAAGAGTAGATGATGATGCTCTTAGAAGTACAATTTAATGGATTCTGGGAATGTCCAAAAATAACTTCTCCTGATCTGTTGATATTATCAGAAATTTCGCCGTTAGTGATTCATCCTAAGTTTCCTGTTAAATTGGGTTATTCCTAGTAAGGCTATTGATTTAATCTCTGTTTAGATAAAATAATATTTTGTACTGGTTTAATAGAAATTAACTGTAGGTTCCTCTTTGATCTAACTGACCCCCCCCATACTTCTTTTTTCTCATGTCCTAATACTTTCCCCCTTGCTCATTCAACTCTAGCCACATTGTCCTCAGTGCTATTTTTTGAATATGATAGGTCCATTTCTGCCTCAAGGTCTTGCTCTTGAGCACTCTCTCCCCCATATCTACATGGCTTGCTTCCGAATTTCATTTAGGTCTTTACTCGGATGAAACTTTCCCAATAAGGCTTTCTCTGATCACCCTACTTAAAACCGTAACCCCAGCCCCTCTGTCCTTGTCTTCTTTCCCAGCTGTATTTTTCTCTATTCATGATCTGAATGCTGTGTTTTTTAATTTGCCTATCTTCACCATAATAATGTGAGCTGTATATGAACAGAGATTTTGTTTTGATCATTGCTCTATTTCCCAGGGCCTAGCATGTAATAGGGGAGTCCCTGGATGACATAATTGGCTAGGCACTCAATTTACTAACTGGAAAGTTGACAGTTCGAACCCACCTAGAGGTGCCTCTGAAGAAAGGCCTGATGACCTGCTTCCAAAAGGTCACAGCCATAAAAACCCTATGGAGCACAGTTCTTCTACTTGGAAACACATGGGGTCGCCATGAGTCGAAAATGATTTGACAGCAAGTAGTTTTGGGTTTTTTTAGAATGTAATAGGTGCTCAGTAAATATTTGTTAAAGGCATAAGTGAATGAATACAAAATCCTGCAGGATTGTGGCATAAAAGCAGTGCCTATTAGAAAGGGGATACCAAATAATTATCCCATTATACAGTTTTTTTTAAGACAGTATTTCCCCAAATATGTTAAATGTTAATGCCTTCCTCCTCTTTAGGAAATACTTGCCTAGGGCCAACTATGAAGGGCTTCTGTTTGCAGGTTTATAACAATTCTGAGCTCTGACAAAACCTATATGTAACATGCATTTAAATAGATCCTAAACTTCTGAATGACTGAAATTTTTACTCTTATTTATTGTGTAAGTTATAAGACCACTAACCTGGGAATCCAGAAGCCCTGGTGGTGCAATGGTTAAGCACTCAGCTGCTAACCGAAAGGTGGACAGTTTGAACCCACCAGCCGTTCTGCGGGAGAAAAGACCTGGCAATCTGTTCTCTTAAAGATTACAGCCTAGGAAACTCTATGAGGCAGTTCTACTCTGTCATGTTGGGTTGACATGAGTTGGAATCGGATCGACAACACACAACAACAACCACAATAACACTGTGGCTATAGATTGTAAACCAATGATAGGATATCTCTTTAATCCTGAGAACACTCATATTACTTACCGGATTATCAAAAACAAAACTCATTTGTCTTTGTGTCCTTAGTACTTGTGTTGCATTTGGTTTATAGTAGATACTTGATAAAGGTTTATTGACTGTTTTGGAAAGTGTTCTAATTGCATTGTTTTTTATTTAGTAACATAGAACCTTTGGTGCTAATTTTTAGGTTCAGAACCCTTAAGACGATTTTATTTGGGTGACTTGAAAATAGGACATTTTCTTTCATTTCTTCTCTAAGCAAAGATTGATTTACTGCTTAGAATGTTAGCACATTGGTAGGCGCTGGGACTACAACAATGGATTGAAAAACAATCACTACTCTGAGGAAGCTCGCATTCTAGGAAGGAAAAACATATGTATAAAAATTATTGTAATATAGTATAGCAGAGGTATATTTAAGGTACTATACTAGCAGAGAGTTTTTGTAAAGAATGTTTGCTGTATTATAAATAAGAGTTCACTAAGGCTGGTAGAAAGGAAGGGGACAAGACATTCTGTTTTGGAAAGGTTAAGAGCTGCTTGACTGGGGCTAGAGCTTACTATGTGAGAAACAGAGTAGAGAGTAGAGACACTAAACCAGAAATAAAAAACAAACCAAACCTGTTGCCATTGAGTCAATTCCGACTCATAATGGCCCTATAGGACAGAGTAGAACTGCCCCAGAGGGTTTCCAAGGAGCGACTGGTGGATTCAAACTGCCGGCTTTTTGGTTAGCAGCTGAGCTCTTAACCACTGCACCATGAGGGCTCCAGGATCACCTCAGGAGCTGTTTAAAAACATCCTTGGAGCCCTATCTCCAGATATTTTGATTCATTCTGTGCTTTTAAAATACTTCCATGTGATGCTGGTGCAAGCATAATTTGGGAACAAGTACCCTAAACTGACATGAATGTTGGAAAGAAAGTTCTGTCTGCTATAGTATGTCTGTACTATAATCCAGTGAGAATGGAGTAGATTCATGTGTAACTTAACAGTATCATCTCCAGCGGAGTACCCTAAGACGTCCATAGAAGAAAATGCTAAACAATAGTAGCTACTCCATAGATGTGTTTTGAGTTTAAGTGAATTTTTAAATCTGAAATAAAACCACAGAGTATACAACTACAACTCTCAGAAATAATGAAGCCATAAGCAAAGTGGCATCTAAACTGACTGATGTGAAGGTGCTGATGGTTGGAGCCAGTATATTTGAGGCCACAGATAGAGGCAGAGATGGTGGCTCAGCTCTGACCTAGCGTGACACCAACTTAGCATAGTTCAGTAGAGTTTACCAATGGTTCATTGTTAATAGTAGGAAAATCTGTACTTTTATTTTCAGGTTGTATAGTTATTTTAGAATGTAAAAAATAGGACCATATTGAGAGGGACATCAAAAACCACCACATACCTTAAAGTAGTTAAGACTTTTAATTCCTGCACTACATTATCATAGTAGATTTTAGAAGGCATGTGGCAATCATATGACTCTTCTGATTAATTGTGTTTATTGATGAAGCTCCAAGATCATGTAGCAGTGAGGTGTATAGAGACTCCTTTCCAGAACTATAAAGAATATATATGTTTTACCCTCGTCTATCTACTCATGTGTTAATTCTTAAGCGTTAAGGCTGCAAACGAAAAGGTCAGCAGTTTGAATCCACCAGCCACTCCTTGGAAACTCTATGGGGGACAGTTCTGCTCTGTTCTGTAGGGTCGCTATGAGTTGGCATCAGCTCGACAGCAATGGTTTTGGGTTTTTTTTTTTGCTTGTTTGTTATGTTGCAGAAACTTTTAAGAGCACATACAGATAATAGACAGTAGGGGCACAGATACTAGACAGATAAAATCAATAGAAAAAAATAAATTAGAAAAAAAGGAAAGCAAAAAATGCAGCTATTTTGCTTAAACCAAAAAGCTGAGTTTAGCTAAGGGAAGCCTGGCTCACTTGCATCATAGACATTTAATTAGTGTTTCTTGAATAAA